CATATGAAGAGCTGCTGGAAGGCTCCAGCACATGGGAAGGAACTATTTTCAAGCACAAAACACCCGAAGAACCAAGGGATATTAACATGCAAGCTGCCAGGAAGAGAAGCACCCTTCGAACTAGCATACATACCCCAATTCCTTCCCTTATCAGACCTGGCCATGGAAAAAGGAAAGAAAAAAAAATGAAGGAGATGGCTGGGAATGGAAGTCTCCCACTGAAACAGCTGCGGGGGCCTTGAGCTCCCAAAAATCTCTGCTAGGCAGAGGAAATTTCACCAAGATCGAAAAAGTCAAGGGAGGAGATGAGAAAGGAAGGAAAAGCTTGGCCAAAATGGGTAGAAGCCATTAGGGTTTCTTGGGAAGTGATGGTTTCCAGCGGCTATAAAATGAGGCCTCTTCTACCCAACGAAATCAACCCACACCTAGAGAGCAAACTTCCTCTCTTACCTGCAAAACCAAGCAATCTCGTGCACTATTCACCCTCATTCTCCATTTTCTTCTTCTGGCAGACTACTTGCACATATGACAAGCTGCCGGAAGAACATGGTTCTTTCTTTCTCTCTTCTTAGCCAAATCCGCTTGCATACCTCTTCTTCCTCACCTTAAACACTCCCCTTTTCTCCCTAGGAAGCCATATTTTCCTCTTTGGTGCTAAACTCATGCTGATTTTGCTTCCATACCACAAGCCTCTCATGCCAAGCTAGAAAATTTTTCTGTAAGCATCAAGAAATCATCTGTAAGTTATAAGCTGTTGTTATTTTCATTGGTGAAGGTAACCAAGGTGTTTCCTAAGGCATCTCTGTCCTTTCGAAGCATTCTTGTGGCTTGATCTTTAAACTCAGGCTCAAGGGGCAATTTCATCCATCTGCCCTTTACGACAGCCCAACCCGTTTGTAGCTGCCAGAACGAAAAAGCCCCTACAACTGTAATTTCGTAGCCCTAAGCATGACCGGAGGCTGCTATCCTTCAAAAATTAAAACGAAAGGAAACGATTAAAAAAACCTTATCTAGATTCTTCTCTAAACTCCATAAAATGTTTCCAGCAAACCTTATCTAGTGTTTCTAAGCCATAAGAGAACAACTAAGTCAAAAACCCCTAATATTCTCAAACTTTCAATTAAAAAAGTAACAATGACTAAAGAAAAAATAAATTAGTTTCCTTCAATATTGAAACAATCATAAACCACAGCATAAAAAGTTAACATGTTTAGATTTCTAACCTAAGCATACCAACTAAATCGTTGACTTTAAAATGTTCACAAGCCAAACACAAAAAGAAAACACAAAGATTCATACAATAAATACTAGAAAATACTGAAATGAGAAATCAGGATAAGAATAAAAAGGTGAAAATACGTACATCAGAGGCATTACTAATGAGCTCACAGAGAAAGATCTCCTTGTTTCTGTAAAAGGTGTTGATGATCAAACTCAGAAGCTAGTTGATCTCATGGATCAGGACCCGAGTCCACCTCCTGAGTTGTAAAACGACGTTGCCGAGGTTAATGTATCTCGCTCTTTGAAGAAGAGCTTCTTCAATGGCGGCCGCAAAGAGGAAGACAAAGCAGCAACCCCTCTGGCCCTTGCTTTAGAAGAATCACCATCGTAGCATCGGCAAACAGGAGGTCCCGGTTGAAAATCTGGAACACCAGATGGATCTAGCCATTTTGGAATACACGTTGGCGAAAATCGGAGACCCGTCGGGGTTGGTGCAGGCGAAAGAGAAATCGTCTTCATCTTCATTCTTCTCGCAATCACCACCGTTGCTAGCGTTCTGAACACCTTCCTTCTCTTCCATTTTCAGCTTCTCCTTCTCATTATCTAAGGCTACGTACGGTTTTAGGGTCATTGAATAAGAAATCACTACCGGAACCAACGACTTTGGACTTGGAGCTGAAATTTACAGAGAGTTGCGAGTATTCAAATTTGTTCTTCAAATCGTACCAAAACCGCTTGCATTTTCGTTTTGTTCAATCGTAGACAATTTGGGAGTTTTGAGGGTTTGAGGCTTGAAACTCGAGAGAGTGAGAGAGAGGGTTGGGAACTTGGGAGTTTAGTGTTGAGAGTTAATAGTGGGAAGAGAACATGTTAGAGAATTCACATGGCTCGCTTTGAGTTTTTTTTAATAAGAATTCAACACCAAAGGAGTTCACATGGCTCGTTTGGGTTTTTTTTTAATATGAATTCAACATTAAAGGGTAAAATCAAAAATCAGATATTAAGTAAATCCCAAAAAACATAGCTGGCAATAATAGGGTATATTTATAAAGTCTATTTCATGTAGGATAGGGTGTGTTTATAAAGTCAGTTTCATATAGGGTTTTTCTATGATTTTATAGCTAAAATGGGTTTCTTTATAGTTATCTAATATTTAAATTTATGCATGTGTTTTTTATGTCCAATAGCAGCACAACATTATTTGGATGTGATGCCTTTTTGAGATTCTGACGTTAACGAAGTTAAGTGTGATGTGGAACATGCAAAATGACAACAGTTTCCTTAGAGAAGTGATATCTATTATTTACAACAACCTCAGTTTTTATATAAATAAAAATAACAACCTCAGTTTTGCACCAAACAACTTAAGTTAAAATATTAAAACAACAATAGCACTCCAATGACAACTGATGCCTATAACAAGAAGTAACATCAGCATAATGTAAAAAACCAATGATGTAGAATATAAGTGGCAACAAACGCTATGTTGCTTGTGATGTTGTAAGTCAGAAAAAGCTTCAATGCATTAGTTAATTATGATGCTGTAAATTGTATTTAGCATCAGAGCTATTAAAACTACCAATGCCGTTGCAAGTTTAGACATCGGGGGTCAACGCATTTTTTGCATGCGGGAGACACTTTAGCATCGAGAATTACAATAGATCCGATGTGATAAATATATAAAGGCTTCGGATAATATATGTTGCCTATTACATAGTAATAGGCAACAATCACGAACGGTAGGTTGGGTGAGTAAGCCACAGACATTAAAGTGTAGATATTCCCATAGAGAAACTCAAACAAAAGACATTCCTCATATGAGGTAACCATTTCCTTCCAAAGGGGAGGGGGGGCTCTTTTAGATTTCTAATGTGATACTGAACGCAACGGATTTCCGCATACGACGTTGCATTAGATGCAAGCTCATAAATCCAACCAACACAACACTGCTCTCTCTCTCTCTCTCTCTCTCTCTCTCTCTCTCTTCTTAAGTGGGACGTCACTCTAGTCGCTGTCAACCCCCCAACCACAAGCTCGCCGTCTCCTACCACAGCCTGCAGCAGGCCACGATCTTGGGTGACACCGTGACAGCGACCAGGCCAAAGCCAGTGTCTTGCTGGCAACGAAGCCGGTGGCGCCTCCCCAGCTTTGAGCACCAAGACCGAGACCACTCACAGATTCAGAATCGAAACCCTGTGAGGCCACGTAGGTGGTGACGTGGCAAAAAAGATCTCAGAAGGAAGAGGTCATGGAGGCGTGACGTTTGAGCTCCACATGTTTGGGTTGGTATAGGTATTCGTCGTATAGGATAGAGCTCAGGAAGTTGGAGGCCGCCTGCCACGACTTCGAGTTCGGGTTTTCCCCGGGTAATTGGACCGGGGCACCGGCACTAACCGGTCATTCGCGTGCATGGTCGCCTTATTCGTTAAATCCTAAGCTTTGTCTTATGTAGTGGAGGAGACAGTGGATTGGTTTGGTTTGCCATTTTGTTAATTTGCTGGGTAACTGTTACAGTATAGTTGCAGTATCTTTTTATTAATTCATGTGCACCGTGGGATTCATATTGTTGTTGGGGTGAGGTGAGAATGGGTGGAAAGGACATATAGGATTTTCTTTATAGATTTTTCTTGTTATATTTGTAGGGTAGTTTTGCAATGTTTATTTGTATATGGCTGGGCTTACCTATTTTGTTTTATTTAAATAATCGTTTGATAACCATTTCAATTTTACTTATATTCTCCTTATTTTTCCTCTATACTCTAGCACAAAAAATGAAAAATGAAAACTAAAATTAAAATAATTATCAAAAGGGCCCTAAGGTTTTGATATCCTGCCATCTATCAATTGTTGTTGTAGGGACAATTATTAGTTGCCCACTATTAGCATAACAGCGCTATTGCACTTACTTGATAGTCTAGTGCTTTTTTAGGTCTCTAGTTCGAATCCCCACGGTATTATAGTTTTGTGTGTGTGTGTGTATGTGAGAAATCTTCCTTCCTTGTAATTTAATGTTGTCCAATTATTACTGAATACATCAGCCAATTAATGCTATCGTTGTTGTCGTAGGCACATTTATTACTTTCTTACGTAGTTGTCAAGTTCCGTACGTAGTTGTTACCCTCGTACTTTCATCCAGAAAAATTAAAATTTTGAAGTAATTCAATTATTACTAAACAGATCAAAAAATTAACACAATTGTTGTTGTACACACATTTCTTAATTTATGCCTGACATTACCATGACGAGTACTGTTTTACGTAGTTATTACCCTCGTACTGTCATTTACTACAATAATAGTAAAAAAAATAGCATAAAAGGAAGCAGGTGAGTCACTTATCTACTTCAACAAAAATTCTCAAAAACTTCAACAAAAATTGTATGAGAGAAATATCAGAACTATTGTCTACAGTACTATTGTAGACAATAGTTCTGATAGTTCTATACAATAGTACCGTAGACAATAGTTCTGATATTTCTCTCATACAATTTTTGTTGAAGTTTTTGAGAATTTTTGTTGAAGTAGATAAGTGACTCACCTGCTTCCTTTTGTATATTTAATCATGGTGAATAATGTACCTGGAAACGTATGGCCAAAATGCACCTGTCAACCAAAATGGAAATCTGCCCTGCCCAGATTGCGAAGCAAGCAGATCCTTGACGAAACCACCCTTTACCAGATAAAATCAAACCTGTCAACATAATACCAAATTGGCACACAGATTCAAGGCCCTTTGTTTTCACAAACCACCCATACAGAACAGTGCACTTCATCTATAAAAGCACATAAGACTGGGTTAATATGTACACAAAGCCACCATCTTTTCTCCTCTAATTTCTAAGTAGGTCTTGGCTTGGCTTCCATAGAGAAGAATATTAGAATGGTTCAGGTTTATGAGGAATACGATTCCCAAGGAGAAGAGGAAGAAGATGGTCTGAATAGGAAGATGGTGTTGGTCTCAAAGAGCCTAATGGTTCAGATCAAATATCGAATCGATGATTTACCAGAGGTAAAATATATATCATTTTCGTCATTTTATATTCTATATTTATCTAATTTTTCACATATTTTGTGTCCTCTTGTTGTGCAGAGGCTACTCCAAAACAAATTAGGGAGGCCATGCAGGTTGATTTAGCTCCCTGGTCAAGAGTCATCTGCAGCTTGCTAGTGGGTTTTGAATTCTTGTATCAAATTAAATTCTTTTGTTCTTTGTTATTAGATTCGTTCTCCTCAACTTCCTTTGGATTTGTTTAGTAAATCAAATTGGAAATGTGAATACTCTTTTATGATACGCTGAGTACATCACAGCCAATGCAATCATGCTTTGAAAGAGCAAGACCTAACCTTGTTCAAGTCTAATTTTGGATCTCATGTTCATGCAGGTTTCTTCTTTCGCCACTGCTGTGCTGGACACATACAAGATGAGGCCCTTGAAGAACCGTGACCGATAAGGGTATCCTGAACAAGCTAATGGTTGAGGTGCAAAGTGTTCGTTGTCGTGTCCCTCCTAAGTGCAGGACTTACGGGTTTCGCAACAACTAAGTAATGCATGTGGTGTATTTTTTACATGTTATATTAATTGTGCATCCATTGTATGATGATGACATGGTTAGCATCGGTATAAATGAATGTATGCTTGGCTTTCCAATTCCAATGCTATGCATCATGGTGTTTGGAGGGATGGTGTGCAAGTGGTGTATCCTAGTGGATAAGGGCTCGGATTTTGGGTATAAAACTCTTGAGTGTTTATTCTTGTACTTGTATTTTCCCTGGTATAAAGAATTTGGTAACACCGTGGACGTAGGCAGGTGTTTTGCCCAACCACATTAAATTCTTGGTGTTCTCTTTTATTTCACATTGTCATCAGTAGTTGCCGTGATGAGGGGACTAATTTAAGAGAGAATTTTTAAAATGATTACAACATAATAATATCACGGGAGGTCTCCCATGTCTCTTGTGACGCTTGGTGTGTGGCTTGTTGAATCTCTCAATGAGATTGCAATTGTTTTGCTTCTCTGTTTTGTCATCGATGGTTCAGGCATTCTGCTGTATTGGACTTTATTTGTCCCCCTCCCACCTGCTTTAGGTGTGGGCTTGAATGAATATCATTTTCGACCCAAAAAAAGGCCTCTTCCTTTTGTTAAACAGAGAAATAAGAACAAATGAGATAGGTGAATTCTCTCCAATTTTTCATAGGTCTCTCCATTTTCCTCTCTCTCTCTCCCTCTCTCTCTCTCTCTCGCTCTCTCTCTCTCTCTCTTATGTTGCTACCAAATCTCAATAACAACACCACACCTAAAACACTACATGTTGTCTATTAGAGAAACAAAAATATAAGAATCTACCTAACAGTTTGCCGTGCCAATGGTTAAAAAAGTAAAATATATAGGGATAAATTTAAATAAAATGTTTATATTAATAATTTTATATTGACATATCAAATTAGGTAGGCCCCTTTCAAATTTTGACTTAGCGCATCATCTAACTTTCGGGTGAGTGAATCAACTTGGGTTTCTTATCTGTCACATTCGCATGAAAAATATGCACGCATGTGCATGTGGGAATTTAAATTGAAAGCTTTTCAGTGATAACATACGACATATGAGTTATTTCACAAGGGTCTATTTGGGAGTGCTTCTGAAATGGCTAAAAGCACTTTCTAACAACCAAAAGCGCTTCTAACAGCGTTTGGCAAAACAATTTAGAACTGCTTCTGGGTCATAGAAGCTCTTTCTAGAGAGTACCTACCATGTGCTTCTTCGAGAAGCACTCCCAAGTGGTTTTCAATGAAGCGCTTAGATTTCTTATGAAAATTTCAACATTTTTATAATAAAAGCGCTTTTGCTAGAAGCACTTATGATAAGTGCTTCCTAGATAAGCAATCCCAAACGAGCCCTAATTAAACAAATGGTAGTGAACTTTTCTGCAATTGTCATAATTAAACACGTCATACAAGTGTGGGTTCACAATTAAACGTAACCATTAAACTGAACAAATAAATATTTGTCGTCAAAAAGAAATACAGTCAAGACACAAATTAAGGTATGACTACACTCAAAATCAGAACCCCATTGCAAGCATGGGTTAGACTAGTTGGTCAGGGTCGTACACAATGTGGTATAAAAGAGTGTTGCTATTTTCACCCCCCCCCCCCCCCCTTTTTTTTCCCCCCCCCCCCCCCCCATCTTATTTCCCTACCCACCATGTGGTATTAACGATTCTCACAAGACGAGTCATGAACTTTCTCAAGAATCAGGATCGAAGGAGTCGAGATTCAAAATGTATAAATTCTAAAAATAGGTTTGTTGACTATACTGATGGTGGGTCTAAATCTCGCAAGTCAAATGAGCGAAAGAATCTAAGAGAAAAGGTCCAATATTTCGAATGTGAAGGCTATGGACACATATCTTCAGAATGTGCCAACACCTTAAAAAAGAAAAAGGATGGGAAAAATAAGGCATTGCATACTACCTGGAGTGACAGTGATTCTAACTCTGAAAATAATGAGAAGGCCATTGCACTTGTCACGACCGTAAACTTGGATGAACTAACGAAGAAGGATGATGATTGTGAAGATATGAATATTGAATTTATCATGAACAAATATGATGATTTGTTGGCTGCTTCTCAAACACTCATCAAACAAAATGAAGAGCTCGTAAAATCCATTGTCGTGCTGAAGCTGGAAAATTGCAAGATTGCAAACGAGTTTCAATCCTCTGATGCAGATTCCAAAAAGGTAAGTGCAAGTATGAACGAAAAATTAATGTTTTTGCAGAAAAAATTGACTGATTAGAATAAATTAATTGCATCTCTAACTTCTGACAACAAAACCCTTGAACTTGAACTTAAAAATTCAAAGGAAAGGATTGTTTTTTTAACTATTGGTGCAGAAAAAATTAACAAGATGATTAGCATGGGAAGAAGAGATGGTGACAAATTGAATCAAAACTAATATTCATGCTTGAATAGTATGAGTGGTCTCTTGTTTGACGTTTTTAACTAGTATCCATATTGTATCAAGTTTGGTTGTTTTAGTTTGAATAGGTTTTAGAGTTATAGTTGCACAGCAAGTGTGGTCACATGGGTTTCTCTCTAGGGAGAGAAACCTGCTTTGAATAAAAGGACGGTTGGT